CCCCTCCAGCCCCCCCCCCCCCAGCAATTGTTAGATTTTAGAAATGTTACAATGTAGCTGACAGGAAGATCAACCAGCAGAGCTCAGGCAAAACACCTCCCCCGACCAACTGATTGGACAATGAAGGAGCAGAAGCACACTGATGAGGTATGTTTAATGTCAGTGTGTGCAGCAGTGATTGGCCGGCTCCCAGTATTGCCCCTCCCCCTCACCATGCCATTGATACATATTTGTCACATCGCATTGTTAGATCTGCCCGGAGTACCGCTAGAAAAGGTCCCGTCAGGCGAGGAATGTGCGATCTGTCATCACTGTCCTATGTGCTCCAGAGCCGTCATCCTCGTCCTTCCTGTAGCACTGGGTGAGCCCCCGGCTCTGATCAAGTATCTGCATGTCAGATTTCAGGACACTCCAATGGAGGGAGGCTTGTAAGTGACAAAGGTCAGAATGACAGCGATGCGGAGTGTCCCCTGTTACTGCCATGACAGGTCCCCTTTAAGAAGACCTCTTTGCTGATTATAGTCCTGCGTGGACTATGAGGGGCCACACTGCTAACCGACACTCACACACACTGCACGCTCGCTCACATTGCACACTCACACACCGCTCACTTGTTCCTGCTGTGCAGCCATGTCTGCTCCAAACATGTGGAGGGTTTTTTTTTCTTTAACTTTATTAACATTCACCACAGAGCAACAGAGCCTTTAACTTATTCACTGCTGGAAGAGAGCGAGAAGGAAGGGAGGGAGAAGGGAGGAAGAGAGAGAGAGAGAAGGAGAGGAAGAGAGAGAGAGGGGGGAGAGAGCGAGAGGGCGGGGAGAGAGCGAGAGAGGGGGGAGAGAGCGAGAGTGGGGAGGGTGGGGGGAGATTTGTCCTCTATAGCTGGTTGTATTCTGCATTGCTGTTTCATGTATTGCTGGGATTTTTAGTCCCTCTACAGCTTGGAGTCAGTGGCAGGACTACCAGGGTTGCAGCGGTTGCAGATGGGACCGGGCTCTGGCGCTCCACCACTGACCTGAAATCATTAATCTGCATTGTTTTAGAAACAGTCACATGACACTAAGAAAGAGAGGAAAGCCTTGCACCCGGGCCCATTGTTTCTTAGGTCCTTCACTGGGTGATGCTGAGTGAAAGATCACTTTAACCCCTTCATGACTGAGCTAGTTTTCAGTTTCTGTCTGTAAATGACTGACACACTTGTTACATTGTTGCTGTGTGATTCTTCCACGTCAGTCATATACTTTCTTACTAAATGTAATTATATATAATTTTTTAGAGGACAGACAGGGCTATATAATTATATCACATATTTGTACCTAACCCCTCACTTAGTTTGCATAAAATAAAAAAAATAGGAACAAAACTAGAAGAAAACACTTTTTTCACAAGTTTTGATTATTATTATTTTTTTTAGGACAGATAGGGCTATATAATTGTATCACATATGTGTACCTAACCCCTTACTTAGTTTGAATAAAATAAAAAAAATGAGGAAAAAAACTAGAAGAAAACACTTTTTTCACAAGTTTTGATTATTATTTTTTTAGAATTTTGTTATATTAATTAGAGTATAAAAAATATATTTATGTATGATTTTTATTTTCTAAATTTTGTTTTACACTTTATTTAATTTTTTTTAAACTTGTTTTTTTTCTTGTCAGTTTATATCAAGCAGACACTATGACTGATAAATTAACTTTTTATTTTTATTTTTTGGCTATTATTAGGCTGCTCCAAACTTAGTAACAGCTAATAATAACCTTAGAGACTGATCCTGACTTTAGTCAGATTCAGATCTCACTAAAAGCTCTTTGATCTGTGCCTAGACCATCAGAACTGATACATTTCACTCAAAGGATATACAGTGTATCTCTTTAGTGAAATGTATCTAAACATCGCGCTCCAGAGCTGTCAAAACAAATAGCAGCGAGATGAGTCACTGCTGCCTCTCCGCTATTTTCAGCTGTCATATACGGGATCGCAAATTGCGCTCCTGTATTTGCATGTAACGGCTTCATTCTTTCATTACTGAAAGCAAGAAGCTTTCACAAAAAACTTCATTATTTAATTAATGAATTCCTCAATACTGAGCTATTCATTAATGACTGGTAACCGCTGAGAATCAGCTGTTGCCAGCATTACAAAGCCTGATATAACTCGCCACGTACAGTGTAAGTGGCCAGTCATATAGCCACAAAGTGCCGGGACGTACAGTGTAAGTGGCCAGTCATATGGGCACAAAGTGCCGGGACGTACAGTGTAAGTGACCAGTCATATGGGCACAAAGTGCAGGGACGTACAGTGTACGCCTCCGGTCACGAAGGGGTTAAACAAACAGTTGGGACAAATCCTGGTTCTGCTGCACTCCGGGACTGAGAACTGCGAGTCTGTAATTGTTACATTGTTATTCGGGTCCAATAAAGACAAAGTTCACGAAGTTCAGCCCACAGATGATGTTACATTGTATCGGCCGTCGTGTCACCCTGTCCTCTGTGCTCCGACGCGTCTCCTCATCACCGGTGTGCTCTGTGCTCCAACACGTCTCCTCATCACCAGTGTGCTCTGTGCTCCGACACGTCTCCTCATCACCAGTGTGCTCTGTGCTCCGACACGTCTCCTCATCACCGGTGTGCTCTGTGCTCCGACACGTCTCCTCATCACCAGTGTGCTCTGTGCTCCGACACGTCTCCTCAGCACCGGTGTGCTCTGTGCTCCGACACGTCTCCTCATCACCGGTGTGCTCTGTGCTCCGACACGTCTCCTCATCACCGGTGTGCTCTGTGCTCCGACACGTCTCCTCATCACCGGTGTGCTCTGTGCTCCGACACGTCTCCTCATCACCGGTGTCTTCTTGTGTGTCAGTATGTGTGTGTGTGTGTGTGTTAGTATTAGACTTGTGCGCCGTCAAAAAATTTGTTTCGTTTCGGAATATCCGTTATTTCGTATTTCGGAATTCGTATCCGAAACTCAATTCGGATTCGTACGAAATATGAATTTTCGTTAGTTTCGGCACATTTTCGTAACTTTACGAACATTCGTTATGATGAAGTTAAAAAGCAAAAATACCTTTGTTATTATTGGAGTCGATGTGGTAGTTGTTTTTGTATCCGAAATACGAATTCCGTTAACGGATTCCGGATCCGAATTTCGTATTTCGGATAAAAAAAACTACCATCAACTCCAATATAAATGTACTTTGCTTTTTAACTTCATTATAACGAATGTTCGTAACGGAACGAAAATACGTCAACGGAATTTTGTATTTCCTGCCTGTGTATTGTAATGCGACTCTCAGCAGCAGCGGATCCGTATTTCGGATTAAAAAAAAAATCTTGTCATGTTGTTCAACCTCATTTACAGGGGTAATATTAGTTCCTGTTTCAAAGAAATTCGGATCTGAAATCCGTTAATGGAATTTCGTATTTCGGACATAAATTCGGAAACTGCCATTCGGATCTCGGATGCTTCCAAATCTACGAATTTCAGGAAAATTCGTACGAATTTTGATTCGTAACGAAACGAATCGCACATGTCTAGTTAGTATGTGTGTGTCAGTATGTGTGTGTCAGTATGTGTGTGTGTGTGTGTCTCCCCCTCCCATCTCGGGGACTGTGAATTGACTTTCACTTTCACTTCCTGTCTTTCTCGTCCTTTTCTTGTATTTTGCAGACACGGAATTTGCTCTCCAGGCTGCAGTCCGGGTAGGAAAGGGTTACAGGGAGATATCCAGAGAGTGCAACATACATGTCACCCACATACGTGTCACTCAGCGCCAGGTGAAAGTGAAAGAGGTGACAGCATTGTGAGACGGCGGGACTGAGAACCAGACAGACGGCACACACCCAGCAGATGAGAGACAGCAAACAACTGAAGGAGAATAGACAGATACAGGTAAGAGACAGAAGAGTGCTGAAGAGGAAGAGACAGCTACAGGGAGGAGACAGCAGAGTGCTGAAGAGGGAGAGACAGCTACAGGGAGGAGACAGCAGAGTGCTGAAGAGATAGAGACAGCTACAGGGAGGAGACAGCAAAGTGCTGAAGAGAAAGAGACAGTTGCAGGGAAGAGACAGCAGAGTGCTGAAGAGACAGCTGCAGGGAGGAGACAGCAGAGTGCTGAAGAGATAGAGACAGCTGCAGCGAGGAGACAGCAAAGTGCTGAAGAGGAAGAGACAGCTGCAGGGAAGAGACAGCAGAGTGCTGAAGAGACAGCTACAGGGAGGAGACAGCAGAGTGCTGAAGAGACAGCTACAGGGGGTAGACAGCAGAGTGCTGAAGAGGAAGAGACAGCTACAGGGAGGAGACAGCAGAGTGCTGAAGAGGAAGAGACAGCTGCAGGGAAGAGACAGCTACAGGGAGGAGACAGCAAAGTGCAGGATGACGATGTCTCACAGGTAAGAGACAGCCTTAGGAGACATCACAGTGCAAGATGTGGAAGAGACAGACAAGAAAAAGCCAAGTGCAGGGGTCAGGACTATGATACAGCACTCAGTATAGAGTGCAGAGGTCGGGAACATTGTGCCCTTCTCAGGTGGTCAGTGGAATAAAATATACCCCAAAGTTGGTGTAAAACAATGTGTAATAGACACCCCCACACCTCCATCCTAAAATGTCTCTCCCCCACAGAGTCCAGGTGTCTGTGTGGGTGCATAGTGTGGGGGGGCATCATCTCACCCCTGTCCCTCTCACCAGCTCTTTCACTGCTTCCTCTGCTCCAGCACCAGACAAGAACCCCCCCTAAGGTGGCACTGCCTAGGGTTAGGTCTGCTCTCCAGCCTGCAGGGATCTGGGGGTGCAATAGGCCGAGCATGAATCATACTGGGGGGGGGGGGGGTAATGATACATACCTCACCGCTGTTCTCCTTCGTGAATGGGGGTCTACTCTCCAGCCTGCGGGGATCTGGGGGTCCAATAGGCCGAGCATGAATCATACTGGGGGGGGGGGGGGTAATGATACATACCTCACCGCTGTTCTCCTTCGTGAATGGGGGTCTACTCTCCAGCCTGCGGGGATCTGGGGGTCCAATAGGCCGAGCATGAATCATACTGGGGGGGGGGGGGGTAATGATACATACCTCACCGCTGTTCTCCTTCGTGAATGGGGGTCTACTCTCCAGCCTGCGGGGATCTGGGGGTCCAATAGGCCGAGCATGAATCATACTGGGGGGGGGGGGGGTAATGATACATACCTCACCGCTGTTCTCCTTCGTGAATGGGGGTCTACTCTCCAGCCTGCGGGGATCTGGGGGTCCAATAGGCCGAGCATGAATCATACTGGGGGGGGGGGGGGTAATGATACATACCTCACCGCTGTTCTCCTTCGTGAATGGGGGTCTACTCTCCAGCCTGCGGGGATCTGGGGGTCCAATAGGCCGAGCATGAATCATACTGGGGGGGGGGGGGGTAATGATACATACCTCACCGCTGTTCTCCTTCGTGAATGGGGGTCTACTCTCCAGCCTGCGGGGATCTGGGGGTCCAATAGGCCGAGCATGAATCATACTGGGGGGGGGGGGGGTAATGATACATACCTCACCGCTGTTCTCCTTCGTGAATGGGGGTCTACTCTCCAGCCTGCGGGGATCTGGGGGTCCAATAGGCCGAGCATGAATCATACTGGGGGGGGGGGGGGTAATGATACATACCTCACCGCTG